CAATGCCCATCATGAATTATGGCATTCCGTCCTAGGTAATGACCAGAGAGGCATGGCGCTGGCTGAGCAAATCGATAGCTCCACGTTTTGCACAGTGAATGAGGACGCGCCCACCAGAATAAGGGGAGACTGCCACAGTTCTCCGGACATATCCATCGTGTCCCCAGGTCTGACGAATGACGTAACTTGGCAATCAGTCATTTCTCTAGGCTCAGACCACCTCCCCATTATTATCGCCATCAATAGACCACCCGACTTCATCGACTCTGAACGCCGCACTTTCCTTAACCACGGGAAAGCTAATTGGCAAGAATTCAGAGAGTATACCAATCGCCGCTTCAGAGAACTGCCCAACCCATCTGATGTTCAGGTAGCAGATAGGTGTTTCCGGGACATCATCAAAGCTGCAGCCGCTCGCTATATACCTGCTGGTCGAATACCTGAAATAAGACCAAATTTCCCAGCAGAGGCAGCGGGATTAGCAAACGAGCGAGATGAGCTTCGCCGTACTAACCCTAATAACCCCAGAGTCAGGGAACTTACTCTGGAGGTAAACAGGTTAGTAGGTGAGCATAAGCGGAAAAAGTGGCTAGAACATCTGAAGCATTGCAACATCGGTACCGGAACGAGTAAATTGTGGGCAACGGTTAAGTCGCTTTCGAACCCTGGAAAAAAGGACGATCGGACATCTGTCTCATTTAACGGCGTAGAAGTGACAGATCCGAAGAGGTGCGCGTGTTATTTTAACCGGCAATTTGTAGAGCACCCCGAGAGTGACAGGGCGAAGAGAAGGATACTACGCCGTGTACGATCCCTTCCAGCCGAGGAGGTACCACCACAATTTACGTTGGCAGATGTTGCACAGGTCATCAGAAGCGCAAAGTCATCCAAAGCGCTTGGTCCTGACAGAATCTCAATGGTGATGTTGAAACAACTGGATGAACCAGGAGTTGAGTATCTGACAAAGCTTCTCAATCTGTCGTTAGCCACCCTAGTAGTTCCCGATGCCTGGAAAATGGGCAGGGTGGTCCCGCTACTGAAGCCAGGCAAGGATGCCAGCAAAAGTGATTCATACAGGCCGATATCACTTTTGTCACCAGTAGCAAAGACGCTTGAGGCTTTACTCCTCCCCAGCATAAGAGAGTGTTTCCCAGTAGCCGATCATCAACACGGATTCCGAAAATTGCATAGCACAACAACAGCTTTACACGCCATTTCCACACATGTCAGTAGAGGTCTCAACCAGAACAGGCCGTGCGATAGAACAGTTATGGTGGCACTTGATTTATCAAAAGCCTTTGATACAGTCAATCATGCCACACTGTTCGAGGACATTGAACGCACCACCCTCCGGCCAAGTTTGAAACGTTGGATAGTAAACTACATGTGTGGACGCCAGTCGTACGTGGAATTCAGAAACAAGAAGTCGAGCATCCGTAGAGTTAAACAGGGAGTTCCCCAAGGTGGGGTGATATCTCCGGAACTGTTTAACCTCTACCTTTCTGAAATTCCACGCCCTCCAGACGGCATAGAGATTATTACGTACGCAGATGATTGTACGCTCGTGGCGTCCGGACCCATTATTGATGACATTTGCGATCGGTTGAACGCTTACCTTGTTGATCTTACCGCCTTTTTCACTGCGAGGAATATGAAGATATCCGCCACTAAGTCGACGGCCACACTTTTCACCACATGGACTGCGGAGATGGGGCTATCCTTGAATGTGCAGGTCGATGGTGCTCTTATTCCGACCACCAACTACCCCAAGGTATTAGGGGTCACATTCAATAGCCTCTTTAAGTCGTCCGCGCATACCACAGCTATCTGCGACAAGATTAGAAGTAGGAACAAGGTCCTCAAGTCTCTGGCCGGCAGTACTTGGGGAGCTGATAAGGAGACCTTGTTGACCTCTTACAACGCGATAGGCCGGTCTGTGGTAAACTATGCGGCTCCAGTGTGGTCCGCTAACGTCAGTGCTACGCAGTGGAAAAATGTTCAGTCCTGCCAGAATGCCGCCCTTAGAACCGCAACAGGGTGCCTTCTCATGACACCCGTCGATCACCTACATGAGGAGGCGAAGGTCTTACCGGTGCGACAGCATAACAAAATGCTGTCAATGCAATACCTGCTTGGGTGTTATAGACAAAGCCATCCAAATCACCATCTTGTGGATAGGCAACCTCCGCCCAGGCACGTTAGGAAAGACCTTCATGATCTAGAGAGAGAGGTACAGAGGTATAAGAGAGAGCCTCTAGATCAACAGGCCTATCAAGCGGGACTGAATAGTATTCACTCTAATGCGGTCTCAGAAGCCATTGAAGGATATAGAGTGAATACTGTGCTAGGAGACCATCCCCCTCCCGTCGCAGCTGAAGAACGAGAGCTGCCCCGACAAACCCGAGTAGTCTTGGCTCAATTACGATCCGGATGGTGCAGCCGCCTAAATTCCTACTGGGCCCGGATCAACGGCGAAGTGCAGAACATCTGCCCAGCATGTGGCACAGGCCCACATGACACGCTGCATTTATTTCGCTGCCCAGCCAAGCCTACTCACCTAACTCCAGTCTCGTTATGGACTCAACCCATACAGGTTGCATCCTTTTTGAGACTGGACTTAGAGGCAGAACCGGATTGAACTGAGTTAGAAAATGGAAACCAAACGAACACATATGTATGAGCTGCTACAACAACAACTATCGGCATCTACGTAACGGTCAGAATTGACCTTTTCGTCTAATTGTTATTTCGTCGGGTTAAAAATATTCACGGTTTAATCGAAATTTTTACTTTTATTTAACACAAATGTTATGGTCTCTTTCACCCACTAAATATTACCCGATGACCATCGAAATTCTAACTCCCGCTTCGATTGGTCTATAATTGCGACCTGTAGAACAACTGCAAAATCAGGAAATTTTTCAGTTTTTGGTCCATTTCAACCCCTAAATATTATGCGATCATCTCCAAAAACAATAGGGTTCTTTTCTGGCTAACCCCACATGGTGTTACATAATTTTTGGCCCAATCAAACTTATAATACACCCAACACATAGTGTTGTAGGGTATAAAAATGAATTTTCAATATTGAAATTGTTAAAATTTTAACATTTGTACACTTGTCATATAAATACATGTATTCGACTTCTGTAGTGAGAAACGTAAAAGCCCTAGGTATGGTTATAGGCATGGTACAATGATATCAAGGTAGGGCAGAACTACCATATGATTTCAATTTTTTTATTTTCTTGGCCTAATACGTCATCTTTTTTTGTTTATGTATGTGTTTTATTTTCAATAACAAAAAATTGTTGAGAAAACATTCAAATTCAGGTGTTTTCAAAATGTTCATTTCAACGCATGCATCGACAAAATCTAGAGTTTTTGTAGCGAAATAATCCTTTAGAGACATATAGTACACGATTTTGAAAATAAGTGTTGACCTTTCATTCAGTTATCGCGGTTTTCAATTATTTATTCAAAATAAATGCAACAAGTTGTTTGATTTTTTATTGTTTTGATACTAATTCTGACATTACAAGCCAAACAGGTAGACCTCTATACTTGCAATTTTTTCAAAGTTGACCTACCTTCTCTTCATTGTACCATGGTTATAGGCATGGTAGAAGAATTCAGGTATATACATTAACCCATGGTACAATGAAGTCAAGGTAGGCTAACTTTGAAAAAATTGCAAGTATAGAGGTCTACCTGTTTGGCTTGTAATGTCAGAATTACTCATGGTACAATGAATTCAAGGTAGGGCAGAACTACCATATGATTTCAATTTTTTTATTTTCTTGGCTTAATATATCATTTTTATTTGTTTATGTATGTGTTTTCTTTTCAATAACAAAAAAATGTTCAGAAAATATTCAAATTCGGGTGTTTTCAAAATGTTTATTTCAACGTATGCACCTACATAATCTAGAGTTTTTGTAGCGAAATAATCCTTTAGAGATATATAGTACATGACTTTGAAAAGAAGTTTTGACCTTTCATTTAGTTATCGCGTTTTTCAATTAGTTATTCAAAATAAATGCAACAAGTTGTTTGATTTTTTATTGTTTTGATACTAATTCTGACATTACAAGCCAAACAGGTAGACCTCTATACTTGCAATTTTTTCAAAGTTGACCTACCTTCTCTTCATTGTACCATGGAATTACTATCAAAACTATAAAAAAGCAAACATCTTGTTGCATTGATTTTGAATAAATAATATCAAACCGCGAAAAATTAATGAAAGGTCAAAATTTCTTTTCAAAATCATGTTCTATATATCTTTTATGGCTTATTTCGCCACAAAAACTGTAGATTTTGTCGATGCATACGTTGCAATAAGCATTTTGAAAACACCCGAATTTGAATATTTTCTGAACAATTTTTGTATTATTGAAAAGAATACACACACATAAACAAATGAAGTTGACATATTAAGCCAGAAAAGTAAAAAAAAATTAAAATCATATGGTAGTTCTGCCCTACCTCGAATTCATTGTACCATGTATTAACCCTTAAGGGCTAAGTACATAAGAAGCTTGAAGTCATGGCTAGGCATATTTTGAGACATTTCACAAAGAGATTACAGAGCCGCACTAAAATCCTGCCGTCGTTTTCCATTATAATTTGACATTAGTATGCCTAGCCACGACTTCAAGCTTTTTATGTACTTGCACCCTTAGGAACATTGATATATCAAAATTGTTAAAATGTCAAGATGATCTTAAAATGTTTTCTTGTACCATGCAAATCGGAGCTTGTTATGATGTGTATTTTTCAACCATTTTTACAAATTTAAATTATTTTTCATTCAACATTTTCAATTCCAAAATCAGTTTGACATCTAATATTCGATGCGACTGCCTATATTCTTCTACCATGCATTCAGCTGTTTTCCTAGTGAAAAATAGACTTCTAAACCCCTTTTAACGGACACTTTCGATCATGGGATCTCTGTCTTAATCTTGGTTTTTGTTTTGATTTTTATCTTTATTACATATTCTCGCTTAGGGCACTGTTTGTCATCCCGCTTCTTTTGGTGTTGGTTCGCTTGGATCGTGAAATTGCAAAAAATAAATTCGCGAATAATCTTTAATTATTAAGTCATTTGCTTGTAAAAAATTAAAATTTTGGGAGGAAATGGGTGATGTACAAATGTTAATGGAAATGGGCTTCCCCAAGGAAAGAGCCGAATACGCTCTAAAGGTTACCAACAACAAAGGAGTTGAGCCGGCTATGGAGTGGTTGTTAGCTCATGTTGACGAACCAATTCCACAGCAACCTGCCGTTGAGGAGGCACCCAGCACTTCTAATTCGGAAAAAGTTGCCGGTGAAGCAAAATCACTTAAATGCGATGATTGCGGTAAACTGTGTAAAGATCAGGGTGAAGTAGAATTCCATGCTGCAAAGACCGGTCATAGCAATTTTTCTGAATCCACCGAGGAGAAAAAACCGCTAACAGAAGAGGAGAAGAAACAACAGCTGGCTCTGATTGAAGAGAAACTTAAACAAAAGCGTTTGGAACGAGAAGAACGCGAAAGGCAAGATGCCCTGGAACGTGAACGTAATCGCATTAAATCGGGCAAGGACATGTCTGAGGCCCGCAGACGAATCGAGGAGTTGGAAATGAAAAAAATAATTGAACAACGTAAACGTGAAAAGGCCGAAGAAAAGGCAGCACGTGAACGTGTAAAGGCTCAGATTGAAGCGGATAAAGCCAGACGCAAGGCCAGTCAGACATCACCCACTGCCGAAACACCGGTTGCTTCGTCGTCATCGGTTTCTTCTACCACACCAACTGCTGATGCTAGCGTTAAATCTCCCCCAAAGGAGTACAAAGAGACACGCATCCAGATACGTCTCCAAGATGGATCAACTCTAACGGAAACCTTCAACGTTAACGAACAACTGTCCGCAGTGCGTGTGTTCATACAAATGAAAACCGGCAATGAAACGCCATTTGGTCTGATGACAACATTTCCTCGCAAAGTTTTTGACTGTGATGACTTTGAGAAACCATTAAGTGCTCTGGGTCTGGTACCATCGGCCGTCCTAATAATGACCAAAGTCAATGTGTAAACATTTAGCAATATGGTGTAGCTGCTGCATGCGTATTGGATCACTTGCGACATTTAAAATAAATAAATAAAATCGTATTTAATCTCTTTTTTGGTAATGCTCGGCAATTTTGTATGTATATGTATTTATTTCGGTGCAGCAAATAGACTGCAGATTTGAATTTTGTTTTTGAATAAAACGTTTGATACCAACATAAAAATGGCATTATTTTTTTATCAAATATGTTGGGTTCAAATAAAACTGTCGCCTTTTAGGCACATATCTGGGATATGTGATATCAATGTAAGGTTTAGATGCCATTCTTCAGAGTAGGTCCATCCCATCAAAATACATAGCTTTGATAGTAAAAAATTAAAAGTAACAAATTTTCTTGTCGATTACTCGGTTTTTGTCTGTGACTTGAAATATGAGTTAAAGAATCGCCCTGCTGAATTTATTTACTAATAGAAGTTCCGAGGCTAGCTTAAACCCAGCTGAGAAGCTGATTTTTAACACTATATGTGGTCTGTTCCAGAACTGCAAAAATGTAATGTCTTTTTCTACCTGTAAATCCCAACGATGATGTTTCGCATATAAATTCGCATATTTCCCCGACTACGGATAACGTATACCATAGCCGCATATCAACATCTGCTAAACAAACATTTAATATATAGTACATATTATTAATATATTAATTACAATAAATAACTCAAATTGTTTAAAAAGTTGGAGATTCTTACACATTAGGGAACAGAGCTATTATCTCCCAATGTTTTCCTGTCGTCTTCAGCTATTGTAATTATTTCGATAAATCGATAGTTGAATGTATGAAAATCGATGCATCCTGATTGTTTACATTTCACCGGTTGTTGCATGTAAAAGTTCGCCAAATTTCAGTAGAACTTGGAAGTTAACTCAAATCCATAGAATTTCTTCCAAAATCTATTGAAGCTGCTTAAGGATAGACATGCACTTTGAGGAGTTGGAGGCGCTGGATCCTCGCAATCCAACCCTGGCGAGGATTGAAATGCCGACACCACATAAAGTGTCCGTGCTGATTCTAGTTCAACAATACATAAAGGTTGGTAGCTGGTCAATTCCCGGTTACACCAGTTATTCTTGTTAATTTAAGCTAATCAATCAACTCTATTTTTCGTAGGCAAAGAAAGCTGCCACCGACACCGGGTTATTCTATCCCACCAAGTACCGGCGAAACTTTTGTATGTTGCTGCTTAAATTAATTCAATATCCAGATATGACCTACAATGATCTTTATCAACTGCTGTGCTCACCAAAATTTAAAATAGACCCAGTACATTTGGAGGGATTTGAAAAAGTAATGGCGGATGTCTTCTCGCTGGGCATTGAAACTCTATTTGATTTTGCCGAAATGGATAATATTGAAAAGATGCTGGCCGAACAGTTGGGTGTTAGCCAGTTTAGTCTAGTGGGATTATATATACGACGAGTTGGGGTGATATTAGAACGTTTGTCCTTCCCTGAAATGATGGCTTTACACAAAAATATATGTTTGTACTATGAAAAAGGTGAGGGGATTGGAATTCTACGTCATTCATGTCACTAATTTGAATTCTTCGTTTCAAGGTGTACGGTCATTGACATTGGGACCACGTAAGCCACACTGTGGAGCAAGCACCACTGCAACCAATATCACAGAAGACGATGAAAACACCATAGAAGAATCGGTATTGGATACCGAAACGGTGCATCAAGACCGTAATCCGCACAGTAAATGGTCACCCAAGCAGGCCCAGTTGTTTGTGAGCCAACAATGTAACCTCCTCGAGAAGAATGAATTGCGTGCCCTGCCTCCGATTGAAATGCAAACAAAACTCAATGAAATCATACAGGATAATCCACTCAATGCTAAGGCGTACTTTTTGGGCTACATGAATCAATTGCGTTTGCGTGATGTATTTGGGGCACTGGATGCCTTACATCGTTCGTTCGATCGCAGTCCCAATATGATAACCCAAAATGATCAAAAAGGCTTTCAGTACTTCAGCGTTAATTTGGCAATTTTACACGCAACATTCAACCACAAGAAGGAAGCCTTAAATGCTCTAAAGGAATGCATAATGTTGGCCCAAGAATGTGGTGACAAACGATGTCTAGATTTGGCCAATTCCTGGTATTGTTTATTGAACAGTAGTCGTATAGGACCGTTCGAAAAGAGTTTGCCAGATATACAAGATCCCGGACTCATACAAAGTCTGTCCTTGGCCATTGAATTTGTTGTGGCATTTGGAGCCAAATGTGGATTTTTGCCATTGGATTTGTTTGAACTCTTGTTAAAGAGTGATGAGTTGAATAACAAGAATACTCTGCTTGAACACATTTCCGATTCCTTGGCTCTACGTTCAACGCTGTGGGTTCTCTACGGTCGCTACGAGATGTCTGCTTTGTACTCTCAGCTGCTATTGAATCTCAAGAAGACATGGGTCTTTGGCGATGTTAGCAACTCGGAAAGTGTTAGCAAAGTTTTGGCAAATCTTGCCTTGTGGTTTTATGCGCAAGGTGAACACCAGCTTAGTGCTGTGTTACTATATCATGCTCGTACTAGATTTCCTAGACATCCTTTTGCAGCTGACTGGATGACAAGTGAGTGTCATATTTCCATACAACAGGCTATCTACCGTGGTCGCTGGCAAGATGCTTTACGTTGGTGCTGTCAACTTTATTTGCTGGACAAACATGATGGCAACATACAAAGGGCTATTGTCTACATTTCGAAATCGTACAACAATACAGCTAGGAAAATTTTACAAAATTTATTGCAAGATAATGAGCTAGACACTCTGCGACAAGTTCGAGTTTTAACCCTGTTGGCTTGTAATAGCCTAAATGAAAACAATGTCTCCTCGGAGACCATCGATCTATTAATGCGGGCGTCTGTTATTGCTGAATCTGCATATATGCAATACGAGCATGCCATGGTTGATGTGATAATGGCCCAAGTGTTGCTGCAAATGGGCTTGCCACAAAAGGCCTTGCAAGCCTTGCGCAATTCCATTGAAACAATCTACACCAATGGAGGCATATATGATCGGGCTAAAACAGATTTTATTTTTGCTCGTTGTCTGGTGGCTGCAGGACGTGATCGGGAAGAACAACACAAACGTCTAGTGAAATCGTTACCATCCTTAGAAAGAGCCATAGAATTGTTTCGTAAATTGGAAGCACATGCCAAAGTATTGGATGTCTTGGTTTATATCTCGAAGACTTTCAATACATTTGGTTTTATTGCGGAACGTAATAAGTATGCGTGTAAATTTAAACAATATTATACGGAGAATCCTGTACCAAGGGAGTATTTAGGCATGGCCTATTAATAAATGTGTTATTTTTTATTCAAATATTGAACTTGATTGCATTTTTGTTCGATTTGCAGTTCTTGATGATGGAAAACAACAATTTTACTAATTTAACATAAAGCATACTTTTAGGCGCTTGTTTCTTTTGTCTAGGCTAAAAATGACACAGGCATTGGTCTACAAAGAACCGGCCGAAATTTTGCATGCCGTAGTTAAAATTTGTTCAATATCAAGATAAAACCTTTTATGATCTTTATCATCTGTAGCGTTTAAAATTGATCCAGTACATTTTGAGGGCCATGGGAAAGATATGACAGATGTCTGCTTTTTGAAGTAGTTAACAAATTTTTATTATATATTGCATTATAGCGCCTAGAGGAAAAAAACGATCTTTCATATAATTTGGTTATATTTAGCGGAGTGGCTGGACTGGTGTTTTAGCATTCCAGAAATTGTCACAAAATTGGCTGAGGCTTTTGTCTTTGGGCTAATAGGATTCGAGTCGAAGTTTGGTCATTTAAATTGAAAATTTGGACTAATAAACGATTTTATTATCTTAATATTTTTCAAAATCAAGGTATCAACGCTCCAACAATGCTTTTACAATCAATCCTAGTACAGGGAAATAACCAATATCCAAGTAGATTTTTACAATGGACAACATGGTTTTCAAAAGCAAATATCTTTTTAAATAATTTCCCTTTCAAATTATTTTGCGGAAGTTACTTTGAAGATCGAAAATTAAAGAAAATTTTTGTTCTTGCGGTTGGAAGAAAATCCATCGAATAAGCCAGTTATTTACTTTTCCGGTAATTGTCAAGAATTTGACGAAAACTCATTTTCGCAAGAATGTAAAAGTTTATACTACGATAATCGATTTTACCATTATGATATCAAAAAAAAAAAAAAAAAAAAAAAATCAAAATTGGTAGATTGTTACAGATCCTGGAACAGAGCATATACATCGAATTTGATTAAATGTTTTTGAAAATTTGATTCATTTTTTGAAACATATTTTTTTTCAGAGGTGTTTATCACCAAAAATCACTAAAATATATACAAATTTCGATTCCACAAAATGAATTGGTTTCCGAGATATATTATATTTCTTGAAATATTAAAGTGGGAAAAATTCTCCAGAGAATTTATATTTGTGATTGCATTGGTTACGTAAGTTAACAGCTTGTCTCGTGATGTTTTGTTAAATTTTGACAGTTACGATTAGAAATACGAAATTGTTAAAATGAAAAAAAAAAATCCCCATGGAATTGACATTCGTGATTATCCAGATATTCCAAATTTGAGACGTTTTCGACACTTCTTCTGATCAAATTTAGATAAAATACTTTGTAGGTACAATAAACTAAGGAACCCTTGTCTGACTACTGCAGATACCAGTTCAATCCGCTTTTTTCCACACTTCATCGTACACTGAGTACAGAAAAAAATAAAATAAAACCATTCAACAGCTCTAGTAAATCCAACATAGCCAAAATTTTGCTAATCTAATATTCTGATTTTGATTATCTCAGTTGAAGGTTTTATTTACAGCTGGCACCCGAAGGTGATCAATCAATTTCAAATATATCAGCGATATGCCATTTAATTGGTTGAGCGTTTCGGATGTTTGTTTTCATTATTCTGCAAATCACAAATTGTAAATGAAATCCATAACAAAAACCTGGAGTTAAATAAAAAATGCTAGTCAATCCGTAATCATCGTTCTGGTAGCACATGTGCTCCTAATAGTGAGTGTGATTTCTATCATCAGTTTTAATTCCTTGAATAAAAAAACAAGGTAATTTATTCGGTTATTAATTATTAAACTAAACGTACTCATAACTTAATCTAAAATCTTTTTTACACATCTTGCATTCAGTTTAATCCAGTTTCTTGCGTTTCGAGAGGGAGGGTTTCTCAAACACTTGTTTCATACCACCTCCACGTTCACTGTGGAATTTAAGATTGTTTGCCGTCTCAGCATACCATGGCGAATCGAATTTAGTCGTGTCTTGATCAACTAAATGTGTATATTTGGTACGACCACAACGTCCGAAATTTTTCACTTGCATTACTTTGGGGAGAATAGTCTTGTCAAAGTGATCCTCGAGGGTGGCTTGTGCAAAATCACGTTTCAATACATCATTTTCCTCATCTAAATAGAAGGCACCACGATGATAGTATTTCTGCAAGAATTTATATTTGCCCTTGACGGCTTTGTTGGTGACGATCTTGGGATTCATACGCAACTCCTGTCTTCGTTCCTCTTCGGTGAGATTGCGCATGCGATCGATTTCAGCCTTTTCGCGTTCAGCACTGAAAAAATAAGAAAGAGTTTGATTGATTTTTTTCCATCAAGAGAATTACTTAAAAATGATTTTGTGTTAGTATCATTTTATGGAACCTAAAAGGTATATATCACAAACTATGGATTAACAAGGTAAAAAGCTATAAGTTCGGCCGGGTCGAACTTTGAATACCCGTCACCATTTGAAACGAATTTGGCAATTTTCAAAAAAAAAAAAAAAAAAAAAAATCTGTTAAAAATTCTGTTAAAATCTTAAAAATACCGAATGTAGCCGTTATATTAGGGTCTATACGACGACGTGGATCTGCATCATCAAAATACCGAATAAAGGGAGGTACTATTGTATGGGGCTATACCAAAACGTGGACCTGCACGGACACCTTTCCGTCATAGGCTGTAGTATCTATTACGAACTTCAAATACCAAAATTGAAACAATTCGGGTGAATAATGTTGCTAAAATCATCAAAATACCGAATATCGGGAGGTACCGTTATATGGGGGCTATAAGAAGAAGTGGACCTGCACAGACAATCTTCTGTCATAGGCTATACTATCCATTACAAACTTCAAATCTCAAATGTGAAACAATTCCGGGGAATAATGTAGCTAAAATCATCAAACTACCGAATATGGGGGCTATACCAAAACGTGGACCTACATGGCACATTTTCAATACTGAAAGTCCTGCAGACATAGTATACATTTGAGTAAAATTTTATCAACCTTCTTCATTTCGTTCGGAAGCTAGAGTGATTTCCACAGACGGGCATACGGATAGACGGACGGACATCGCTAAATCGACATAGAATTTTATTCTGATCAAGAATATATATATTTTGTGGGTTCTAAAACGTATGGTTCGAGGTGTTAAGAACGGAATGACATACTTAATGGTGGAGGGTATAAAAAAGATTTAAAGTGTGTCTTGATCTGTTTTTAAACATATCGAAAGAAGTGACATGTAAAAAGTTATAATAAAAGATATATTTAAATGAAATATGGGCAAAAAGGACTGAGAAGCAGAACATGCCCGTAATATAAACTTTCCAAAATGTGAACTGCATACATCTCAATTTTTAGATTAGTGCTGTCTTTTAACACATATTAAGGAGATTATTATATCGAAGAAATTGCAAAGCTAGTGGATTCATACAAATATTGGAACACCAATTGATATGTGATAAATTGTGTTATATACGACTTAAATAGGACGTTTCCACTTATTCTTCCACATCGCAATGAATGAGAAGAGAAGCATTTCGAAAAGCACTGGGTTGATAGATTTGTTTTAAATTGCAAGCTATAGAATACCTATTCAAGTTTGGTTGTGGAGTTACTTCTCACAAATGTACTAAAGTGCAATTATTTTCATAATAGCTATCTAGTTTATTATGTATTTTGTCTACGGATGATATCTCTGCCGTTTCCCCAAAAGGTTTCCATTACTTACTTTTCTCTTTCTTCGCGATCGCGTTTCATGCGTTTTAGTTCACGCAGTTTCCATGCTTCATATTCCACTTCGTCGTTCTCGTCATCTGTGCAAACATCTTCTATTTGGGGTTCAGCGGTGTCATTCTAAAAAAATTGGGATTCATTAAATTTTACAAGCCCACAATCATTTGAAATATTGAAACCTTTGTCTTTTCCAAGTCCTTCTTAACACTCTCCTCCACAAGGCGGAGAGTATTTCTTCTTCTTTCTTTGGCCAAACGTTTAGCCTCCAGTTCCAATTGCTTTTGTTTCTGGGCTTCACGCTCTTTCTCCTGTATTGTGGCACGATCTTTTTTGCGTACAAACAATGGCTTGAGACGTGGTTCATTGTCCTCTTCACTTTCAGTTTCCTCCTCATATTCTGAACTTTCCGAGTCGGATGATTCTGATTGTTTCTCCTCCTCCTTTTGGAGAATTTCTTCTTCCTTTTGTTGTTGCAACATACGCTGGCGTAACTTAAGACGCCTTTGCTCCAATTCCGTTTCACTTACATCCGAATCGGAATCAGATTCCGAAGCCAAGGTGATTTTATTTGTGGTTTTTTGCATAGCCTTCTCATCTTCGTTTTCTTCTTCTTCTTCGGAATCACTTTCTTCAAGAAGTTCCGGCTCATGGATGTGACGATGGCGTTCCATACGCTCTCTTTCCAATTCATCTTGTTCCACAGGGCGGGCACGTAGTCGTCTAAGACGTGGATCATCTACATCCTCCTCGTCGTCGTCTTCTTCATGTTTGTTTTCATGTCGTCTACTTCTAACTTCCTCCTCTGGTTCTTCTTCTTTGACTTCCCTGTGATGTCGTTTTTCATATTGCTGTCTGCGACGATGTTCCAAGAAATCATCGTTGTCGCTCTCCTCGCTACTGGAGTTGTATTTGGCATAGTCGGGACGTTTTCCAGATATGTAACGCTGCACTTTTACTTTCTGCATGGATATTTCACCTGAAATCAGGGAACATGTTTAAGGACCATCATCATGCCAATAAAAACATGTCCAGCTTACCTTTTTCATTTCGTACGGCCACAGCACCGGCCGTACTCTGGATACCCATTGGTACCGTTGGGTTATTCATTTTAGCTGTGAGTCGATAATTCTTTTGGACTCACTATTTTTCTTTATAAAATGAAAAAATAAATATTTTCACTACCCACTGACAGACACACACACACTCCTTTATTTACAATGCGTACGTCGTAGAGATGGCAATATATCGATGAAATGTCTTTATAGCGTTGCCAACTTTTCATAATAAGCTATCGTTTATACAGGGTAACACAGAAATGTTTGTTAATTGAAAGAAATGATTTACCCTATAGAATATATTGATATGTCATTGTATAAATCCTCATAAGGGATAAAAGATACGTGTTCTTTTTCAGAAACAGAAAATCTACTACTTTTGAATATTTTCGATATTATAAAGGGAAAATCGGTTATCGTAGTAAAAATTTGATCATAATTGCAGTTCTGGAACAGACCAAATGTTTACGCTCTTGTAGGTTTTAAACAGAGCAAATATTAAGTCCAAATACTTTTTATATAGGGTTGCAGTTCACTCAGATAGACATTTTTGGCAGAAACTATTACAAAAGACCCCGTTAAAATCTAATATGAACACAATTCGACCGAGTATATTTATGCAATTGTAAAAATTATAAACAACCAATACCTTTATTTTCCTAAATTTGATTAAATTTCATTGACAATTGTAAATAAAATTTCCATTTCTATTACTTTTTGGGAAATTTCAGCACCTACGGTTAAGGTGTAAGTACATAAACAGCTTGAAGTCTTCACATGACATATTTGTGATATATCATAAAGGGATGCTAGAGCCTTTACAATTTGACATTAATATGCCTAGCCATGTGTCATGCTGCTTATATACCCTCACCTTTCAAGTGGGAATGCATAAAGCGCTTATTTGGCTGGCTTCTTTGTAGAGGAAAAAAGGAGTTTTAGGTTGACATAGTTCGATTTTGGCCCTAGGCTCCTATGTTCATTTCCTAAGAATCTAGCCAAATAAGCGCTTTATGTATTTCCACCTATACTTTGTAATAATTATACCATGGTCGCAGTTATTGACACTAATGTAATATTATGATCTGTTCCAGAACTGCAGGAATGTAAAGCTTTTCACTACTATAACCGATTATCCCTTTCTGATATCGAAAAAATTGCAGAAATATTAGATTCTTGCAGCTTCTGGAACAGTGCATTAATGTTCAAGACGATATCAAGCATGGTAGAAGAATACAGGTAATCGCATCGACAAATGTGCTGGGATAATGAACTGTCAAACCAATTTTGAAATTAAAAATGTTGAATGGAAAACTATTTAAATTCGTAAATTTTGCGACTTGGGAGTGTGCCGCAGTCGTAAAGTAAAAACCCAGTATTCATTTCTGTTAGTATGTAGATTTCGCACAGGATTTAAAATAAATCTGGTTGTGAAAATATCTATTTTTGTATGATGAATCTGTTGTAAAAATGCGGGTTAAGCCGGATAAAATTTTGTATCTAAACGCACTACTAAACGCCGTGCATACATACACAATAAATCCATAATCGATACATTTCACTTACTATAAGAGTTGACGCATACACAATCAAATTGACAGTTTAAACCACTAGATATTTAATATGTAAACAAACATCTATTTACGCCGAAAGTGTTTTCATAAAACCTTTTATTTATATTATTAATTCCTTTGAATATACGTCAATGTCAATCAAATGACGTAATTAAACACGTAATAATGGTGTAGGTGTGAATAAGGCTTTATGGTTCGTTAAGATTTTTAATATGTGGTTGTAGAATTGCATGTGATTGTAGTTGTTACCTTTCAATAATTCTACCATGACATTTTTGTTTGCATTTTTATTTAATTTGTCTTCAAGATATATACCTTTTTAAGGTTTATAATAATTTGCAAAGAAAAAAGCAACTGATTGCACTGGAAATTTGTTTGTATTGCCACATATGCTTTCAAGTAGAACTTGCAAGAATCAAAAAGGAAAAATCGGTTATTGTAGCACAAACTTAACATACTTGCAGACCCTGGAAAGGAATTATAATAAACCCACGTAATGGGACGTATAAAAGTACGTTTAAATTTACGAAATCTACTCGATCTCAAATGTGAATTCCATAGCGTATACATCAAATAATATCCACTGGATTTATAATTATGATTTATGTGACGTATACGCTATGGAATTGACATTTGACAATACGAGACCGAATAGATAAATCATGCCCTATTCCATTACGTCAAATAAAATACACTGGATTTAATAATTGAGGTATGCCATGGTAGAAGAATACAGGTAGTCGCATCGACACAGCTGCAGCTACACATTTTTGAAATTTGTAAAAATGGTTGAAAAATGCATATTATAACAATCTCTTATTGGCGTCGTATAAAAAATATTTAGAAATCTACTTGTTTTTGATAAAACATTTAAAAAATTTTGACATATCAATGATCTCAAGCATTGATGCATCTACCCATGGCAAAATAACTGATGGTAGAACAAAGCTACTACTTAAAATACAATTTATTTCTTTTGGTGCCCTTATTATGTAAAAACATATATACATTTTGCCAATGTGTTTGCATTGTTTGGAATAAAAAAAAAAATAATTTGAAATTATTTCAATTTTGTTTGCAAAATAAATGCAAATTTTCGACGTAAATAGCTAACAAATTGTACAATTTTGTGATAAAACTGTATTGTCCTATTTAAAAGTCTATTTGGCACTATAAGACTCCGTTACAGAGTTGCATTTCTCTAGTTTCCTTGAAGTTGAGCAACCTTTTTGATTGAGTCATTCTTCTACCATGAGGTATGCGCAATGGGATTGACAGTTGAAATCCACTAGATTCATTGCATGTAAACAAGCCTTAAGACGTGTAGCTAATATTTGTAATACATTTCCACCCCCAGAATTACTATCATTTTTGTTACAACATTTGTAAATAATTATAAATTTTGCATGTCATAATATGACGCTATGTCAGACTTGTAATATTTTTTATTAGGGTTCCATGTGCTGACCGGTGTTTTATTTTATTAAACAACTGCGTATTTATTTGCATTCTTGTATGCGATTAATAATTTAAATACTATTTTGTATGACTTTCAACTTATTACAGTGTGCAACAACAAATTATTTTTTGAAGAGTCCAATTCTACAAAAATGGAAACTTTAAAATTAAATACATTGAATTTAAGATTGTAAACAAATTATAAATGTATCATGATAGAAGAATACAGGTAGACGCATCGACACAGCTGATGGGACAATGAACTGTCAAACTAATTTTGGAATTGAAATTTTTAAATGAAAAACTATTGAAATTTGTAATAATTGTTGAAAAACGTACATTATAATAACCTTTGATTGAAGTCTCATAAGAAAACATGTAAAAATGTATATATATATTTGAAAAAATATAAAAAAAAAATATGTCACAAAGTATGCCATGCGAAGACTTCAAGCTGTTTATGTGCTCTCTTACTTACAACGTCAGCCCGTCTGTTGTAATCACGCTAGAGTCTAAACGAATAAAGATAGGAAGCTAAAATTTTGCACAGATTAGTCTTTTGTCTGTAGGGATGTCAAGTTCGAAGACGGGCTATATCGGCCCACGATATCGTATAGCCCCCAAATAACGGTACCCCCGATATTCGGTATTTTGACGATTGTAGCCTAATTTTTTAATAAAATTGAATTGACGATTTTAGGGACATTATTCACTGGAGTTGTTTTAAATTTGGTATTTAAAATTCGTAACCTATGGCCTATGACAAAAAATTGCAGGCACACGTCTTCGTGTTGCCTCCACATAACGGTACCTCCCAATATTCGGTATTTTTATGATTTTAGCGACATTATTTACCGGAGATGTATCAAATATCGTATTTAAAATTTGTAATGGGTTCTACAGTCTATGACAAAAAATTGCGCATGTAGGCTCAGCTCTTCGTATAGTCCCGATATAACGGTACCTATCTATATTCATTATTCACCTGTTTTTATACCCTCCACCAAAAAAGGTATGGAGGGTATATTAAGTTCGTCATTCCGTTTGTAACTCATCGAAATAATCATTTTAGACCCAACAAAGTATATATATTCTTGATCAGCGTAAAATTCTAAGACGATTTAGCCCTGTCCGTCCGTCTGTCCGTCTGTTGTAATCACGCTACAGTCTAAACGAATTAAGATAGGAAGCTACAATTTTTCACAGATCTCTCTTTTGTCTGCAGGCAGGTCAAGTTCGAAGATGGGCTATATCGGTCCACGATATCGTATAGCCCCCATATAACGGTACCCCCCGATATTCGGTATTTTGATGATTTTACCCACATTTTGCAACGGAATTGTCTGAAAATCCACACAAGGAGTTCCTTGTGGGTACTTTATAGCTCGGCAGAGAATTATCTATATAGGTCCACAATATCGTATAGCCCCCATATAACGGTACCCCCCGATATTCGGTATTTTGATGATTCTACCCACATTTTTCAACGGAATTGTCTGAAAATCCACACAAGGAGTCCCTTGTGGGCATTTTACCTCCTCAAAAAGAATTGTCTATATAGGTCCACGATATCGTATATCCCCCATATAACTGTAACCCCCGATATTCGGTATTTTGATGATGTTAGCCACGCTTTTCAATGGAATTGTCCTAAGATCAACACAAGTAGTTCCTTGAGAGTACTTCACCCCCTGAGAGAGAATTGTCTATACAGGTCCACGATATCGTATATCCCCCATATAACGGTACCTCCCGATATTCGGTATTTTATGATTTGACCCACATTTTTCATCGGAATTGTCTGAAAATCCACACAAGGAGTTCCTTGTGGGTACTTTATACCTCGGCAGAGAATTATCTATATAGATTCACGATATTGTATAGCATTCATATAACGGTACCCCCGATATTCGGTATTTTGATGTTTTTAGCCATATTTTTCAATGGAATGGTCACAAGGGGTTCTTTGTACACAAGGGGTTTTTTGTGAGCACTTTACCCCCCGACAGAGAATTCTCTATATAGGTTAACGATAACGTATAGCTCCCATATAACGGTACCCCGCGATATTCGGTATTTTGATGATTTTAGCCACATTTTCCAATCGTATTGTCTGAAAATCCACACACGGAG